ACGGGTGAGTTGTTGCCCTTGCCTGAGCTTTTGCTCCCGTATTGCATGCTTCTCTGTATATCTTTCCATTTGAAAGCTCTCTGTTTCCAAGCCATCTCTTGAATGCAACCTTCTTTTCAATGACTTCCATTTGAACCTCTCATGTCCACCAGATAGTTTTTTCCTGATCTCAAGACAACAGGCTAACCCGTTTTAAACCAAAGGTTTCGACTACACAGAAAATAAAAGCTCGTTACTATTTGCGTGACTTCTGGCTACAGCTTTTGCAGCTTATGTGCTACAGCTTCTCCTGTCAGTAAATATTGTACCGAAGGCAGAAGCCGCAGCACTATCGTAGGGAACATACAAATTTATGTTAAACTCGGTTACGGTTTTATCATCACTGACCGTTTCAGAGTTCGTTAAAAGCGTTTATGTTTTTGCTCTTTACTCCTTCATACTGCACCTTGTCGTTCAGTGCCGTAGTTTGATCGTATCCGCTCTCCGCACACTGAAGTCCAAGAATTAACTATGGAAAGCCAAAATTTTTACTGGAGATTAAAGTTCGTTGCTTGTAAAAATAAATAAAAACGTTACAAACTGTGGAACAAAGGAATACTTCAAAATGGGGGGGGCGTATTTTACCCCGCTATTGATTGCTTAAATTCAAGGATGCTTTAAAGAAAATCCTTAAAATAGGATCCAAACATATTTTCTCAAAGTGTTGAAGAGAGATTGACAAGTAATGTTAAAATAACCCACATTTTGTCGGATTTACTCTATGTGAATTAAAAATCTGTCATGAATTCTTTTATTATGTGATACTTTTAACATTCTAGATGCTCTCAGCATTTAAACACACGTCTACAAAATTAATTAACTTAAAAAATCACATGTATTTAATGGAAAGAATTGAACGACGTCGTACGGATAATTAGTTCATGTACTCAAATATGAATAATAAATTAAACATTATTGCTATTTCGAAGAGAAACGAAATAAGATAGAAATATTGTCAATTGAAGGTACCATTTATGGCATATTAATGCCATCGCCTCTTGAGGCGATAACATGCTTTGCTGACGAGATCTATTGTAGGAAGAGTCGCGCTACAGAAGTCGATAAATTCGTACTTAAGAAAACAGACACTTCCATGCGTCGGATGTTGCCAGGCATGGCAAGACACGTATGTTTACTGGCAGGATTTTGCACGCTACCTAAAATCCTACCCTAAGTCAAAATTTGATGACTCTTCCCAGCTGATCGAGAACCTCACGAACTTGCTTGCATGTCCGAAAACTCAGCGAAACGTAGATGTCGACTCAGATGTAAGTCATTGGATCACGTTTCATCGCAAATGTTCATGTTATGTTTTTCTAATTTTCATATTTTATAGTTGATCTTAAAGTTGTGGGCCAACATGAGCGGTTTTTTATGTGCTTCAGCCGCTTCCGGAGGAGTGTCGTCGAATACGCTGTTAAATTCCAGCATGTAATATCGAGCCTAAACTGGTGTAAAATTCAATTTTTGACTTGCAGTGTCGACCCCGTCACCCCTTCGACACCTCCAATAACAGTGGCCAAGGATCACTACGGT